TGGGGGGGGGGGGGGTAGTACTGTACACAGACTCTCAGACACGATTAATCGAAAGGAAAAGAAAAAAAAAACTAAAAAAAAAGGCCTCAAACGTCTTTGATCAAGAGTACCATGTGAGTTTGCCTCACGCGTCGTCATCAAAGCAACGTGCTGCGTAGAGTCGGCCCAGACGTCGGGCTCGCACATAGCGCATCACGTAGGCACGTCGAACTCGCTTAATCTGCATAGGATCCAGCCGGGCGGCAAAGTGAACCTGAATCAGCCAGACGCCACCATACGCCAGCAAAAAAGGCGCCCAGACAGATGTGGCATACCATTTGCGCCTCCGTTTCGTTGTGTCGCTGCAACGCTTCCTTGTACCGCTCGGCTGCCATCACCACTTCGCTGGCATGAGACGCCATTGCCAGATCCCACGGCGTGACGCCGTCGTCGGCACGATGAAACAAGCACAGTGGCAAAAAATCGCTGTTCAAGTGCTGCAATGCTCGCATCAACTATTCCAGAGCCCACCAGGTACATGAGCCACCAAGACACTTGCATCCTGCACGAGGATCACGCGTGAAAGATTTCACGTACATCGGCCCGCTGTTCAGTCACCAACACGTGTAAGAGAGAGCGCAGGTCCGGCATCTGGCAGAGCAACTGGAAGGGATCCCTGTGCGCCAGAATCAATACCGTCCGCACCATACAACATCGCGCCGCCCACTGTGGCAGAGGCACCCAAACATCCGCATCAGAAAGCCATCGCCCACAATGCACACTACTTCATGGTCAGGCCGCGTGTCACGGGCAACTCACAAAAATTGGCACGCAACCCGTTTTGTCTGGCTGCTTCAGACATTCCATCGTACGCTCGGCGTCCAACAAGAGCTTGAGTGCCTTGTAGTTGTCCTATTCTCAATCGACACCCAACAAGATCAAATCAGACTGGTCGGAGGAAAAACAAACATGGCAAGGCTCTGGGCAAACATCTCACGTGCACGCAGGCGGCAGTAACAACGTTGCGGCCCAATCGATCTGTCTGTAGCAAGTTGGCATTGTGCTCCACAAGCCACTGCAGAGCTTGGATATTGTCTGCTCGGCCGAGGATGATGCGTAAAGGTTGGTCGAAGCAGCGGCGGCATGCAAGAAAGCGAGCGGGCAGGCACAAGCCAGATCGCCAATACGCACTATGCTGCACGGCCACAATGACACAGGGGTCGCCTTCCTCGTTCACGGCATCCACCGCTCCATGTTCCATGCTGTTTCATGCATGACCAAAATGAGGAGACTCTCTCGTGTTCCGGCAAGGCTCGGGTTCGTCCACTCACCATTGTTGCAGCCAATCGTTGGCAGCCGGACTCCCGGGATGACTTGTCGATGGAGATAATGAGCTGAAAGGGAGTAAATTATGATGGAAATCAGCACAGCAAATAGCAAACCCCCTCCCCCCGGCAGATTCATGGATGAGCCGTCCCACGCACGGTAGCTTGGGTTGCAGGAAATGCGTTGTTCGTACGTTGTAATCGAGGCCAGGTCGGCATCAAGCTCGGCCAGAATTTCGTCGTTAGGATGCTTGACGGTCTACGGCGGCAGCTCAAAACATAATCAAGAGGCAAAACAAACAGCCAAAGTACCGGTGTACCATCATACGGTGGTTATAGCGCACCTCGGCGATTTCTTCATCTTGTCCGGCATCAGCAGCCAGCTCAGCCTTGTGCAACAAGTGGTCATTCTCATCCTCCTACAAGGGAAGCAACATCGTCAGGCAACACGCCAGAGAGATGAGCTTTGAGCAGATGCCCGTAAAAAAAAGTGTTTCCCATTTTTCCACTGTTTAGAGGAGTCCTTTTTTGCCTAGTTCTCACGTGTGGTAATCGTTTAACTCACTTGTGAATCAGCGAAGAAGTGGCGCAGCTTTTGCCAGCGGTCTCGGCGCCAACGCAAAGTCAGAATGACCGCCAAGAGCACGGCAGCGACTGAGATGGAGATGACGATAATAATCGTGGTGTTGGTATCAAGCCCTTTGGTCGCCTGCCCTCAGGAAAAGAAAAAAAAAAAAAGGTTTGGGAAGTATTCAACACATTCCAGCAGAAATGAACGTGAGCGGGTGGAAACCAAACCGGAGATTTAAAATTCCCAAGAAGACAGTGCCTTGGTTCAGGGATTGAAAAAGCTTTCATACATAGCCCAAAATAGATGAGTTTTGGGCAACGCAGCCACAATAGGACGTACCCGCGATGGCTTGGTTGTAGAGGCCGTTGAAGTCCAAGGGCTGGCTGTGGCTGTGGTGGTGGTGGTGGTGGTGGGCCGCATGGAGCGAGTGGTGTGGGTGGATGAAACCATTGTCGTCGTGGAAACACTTGACACCGTGCGGGGGGTGGTGGTAATGGTAGTGGAAGTGGTGGTGGTGGTGCTGTTCGGAGCGGTAGTCGGGACGGTAGTTGGCGTTGACGTAGCAGGGGTCGTGGTGATGGGCTCAGGCAGCCAAGAAATGCTGACTTGGCACGCAGATAGCGTCATGCGATATCTGTTGTAGCCCATCTGTGGGATGCTCAGGTAGTAGAGGTAGCCACAACCGTGGTCTGAAAAATTGAGCTGCAGCAAGTCGCCCACCAAGACGACCTCGAGTGCTTCTGTGGTGGTGATGGTGGCCACCAAGGACTGATTCGAGGCAGTATAAATCCAGATCCGCTCGCCGAGGGAGGCTGAGGCGCGATAAAAGACGACCCAGATATCGTTGGCGACGGGTTGCACGGAAGAGTCTAGCAGAGGGTTTCCAGCATCCCAGGGTTGCGCGGCATGGAGAATTTGCCATTGTGAATTTTTATTGAGGACCAGTGCACCTTGCGGCAGCAGGGCAAAGGGTAGGCCAGACCAGCTGGCATTGACATAGAGCACACCCGCCATTTGGGTGCGGGCTGGAGATGCAGAGAGATCGGCACGAAATAGGATTTGGGTTATCAGGTACTCTGGCCCTTGATCATGACCGAGGTGGGCAAGGGTTGTTGTAAAGAGCCTCGTCTCGCTGGCAGCGGAGGTGCCGGAGATGTTTGTGAGATAGGTCGAGGCCAGGGCTAGTTGTAGGCCAAAGAGCTCATCTTTATCCTCGTTTAAAACAATCCAGGTGTCAAGGGTAGCCATGGGCAAGAAGATGACGTCCACCTGGCATTGAACGTCAGGGCAGTGCCCGACGGTGGCCACCAGATACGCGTCCGAGGCCGCCGCTGCGCGAAGGGTAGAGTCGGGGGCTGGGAAGGGTGGGAGTGCCGTCAAATTGGACGAGCTAGGCTGAAAGCAAGAGGCATTGCCATTGATCTTTGTGCTCAGCCAAATGATGTAGCTTGCCGTGCGCAGCACAATGTCTGCCTGGGTGACGCTAAGTCTTGGATCCTCAAGATCACGGCGCGCCGTCAGTCCCGTGGGGGTGCAGCTGGCCAGCGGGTCGTAGCCGCACTCACTGATGAGCATGATGCCCGACGTTTCTGGGATGGTTGCCAAGACCTGTCGACTGTGGAGGGCGCGGTAATTCGCGCCAATGAGCTGGTCCAGGGCCGGCAATGTATGCGTGCTGCCGGCGGCAAACGTGGCCAGGATCAGGACCATGGCCATTCGGTCCCATCCGCTCTGGCAGCGAAGCGTTCTAGCCATGTTGCAACGCGATGCAGGATAAAGGTTTGGTGCGTGCGGGCGACTTTTCTCTCATCACACACTGCCAACGCCGCTGAGACGCCGCCTTCTTTCAAGGATGGCCAGGAGCTGGGGGGGGCGTGCCAACGCCGTCCGAGCTTAACAAGCACCAGCATCAGCCGTCTCTCAGGGGAAGCAAATGCCAAGCCCAACACCACCCCCAAGCCTCTTGATCCACCCACGCATGTCCCGTTCCGTCCCGTCCTGTTTGCTCCGACCAAATCAACTTGAGAGATGATTTGACGGGCTCATCGGAGTTCGTTGGAACCGAGCGCGCGCCCGATGCGTGTGTGTGTGTGTGTGTGCATGGTCCTCTCTCTCTCTCTCTCTCTCTCTCTCTCTCTCTCTCTCTCTCTCTCTCTCTCTCTCTCTCTCTCTCTCTCTCTCTCTCTCTCTCTCTCTCTCTCTCTCTCTCTCAACGGTTTGATCACGCAACACCTTATGCGGTTAATGTCGAGATATATCGACTTGATGCAGTTTTATTAACACAATTCAGTATAATTCATGATCGTATATGTCGTGTTATTGGCGTGCTATCAAGGCTTGTGTTGCTCCTTTGCTCCTCCTTTGGGAAGACTGACTGCTTACCAGGTCAACAAGCAAGAGGGCAAGCGAAACGGAATAATCATCTGACATTATTTTCTGACGATTTATAATTGTCAGAAATTTGGTGCAGCGGCAGCATGGCGAGTCGGGCAGCGGGGAAGAAGCGCGCCAAGCGGCAGGCGGCGGCGGAGCGGCAGCGTCAGGGTGATATGGTGTCGTTGTTGAGGCAATTGTCTGAGGAGCAGGGTTTGGATGTCGATGACAATGTGCGCGCGCTGCCGCAGTGGAAGGCACCGCCTTCAGCCGAGTTTCTCGCGCGCGCCGAGCAGCGGGCTAAGCGAGCGCGCCGCGAACACGTGGGGCGTTCTGAAACCGATGCACTCGACAACGAGGACGACAACGAGGAGCAAACGTCCAATCTCGTTTGTACGTGTTCCACAGGCTGTCTTTCTACTGGATGCAACGTACTTAAGATCCCATGCCTCGAGCCAGTCTCACCACCACCTCGTCTTGTCCCGCTGACTCTCCAGCGTTTTTTGATTTGTTGAGGGATCTACGCGCCGAAGTCCTCACACCCGATGGACCTGTGCCAACGGAGCGGCCCGCTGCACTTCGCGCTTGGCTGGATGAACTCGTTGTTGCGGGCCAAGAGGATGAGGACTTGCGTGAGGTATGTGTGTGCACCCCACCTCTCGATCCCGCCGACCCACGCCTCCTCGCACGCCAGCAGCAGGATCGTGGCTCAAATGTTGCCACACATCTAACGCTGTCTCTTCTCCCGCCTCCTCCCCTGCTCTTCCTCGTGTGCGTCAACCGTGGCTTTTGCTGATAGCTGGTTCGGCATTTGCGACCACACCTGCAACGACTGGCTCAAACACTGAGCGCAGCCTCTCGTACCCCCCTGTCACCCAAGGCGGCCCTCTTGGCCATGGTAGATCTACGCTGCCTGCTTTTTAAGGCCTACTACGCCTGCATCCAGCATGGAGGTAGCCCACTCCGCGCATGTGCCCTCCTCAGTCGCGATGACACGGTCATGCAACCGCCCGACCTCGTCGACCTCTATCGGGCGGCCCTGCCGAAACCGGCCAAACGCCGCGCCCGACGCCTGGCCGTGTTGGAAGCCGTCAAAGCAGTCTCCCCGCGTGCTTGGCGAGCGTTCCGTCGCACCTGGGGCCTCACCGACACCGCTCAGTGGGTTAAGCCCCGTCATCCCAATCAGCTGCTCGCCCTGGCCCGGCTCCAGTTTGACGAGGCCACAATGCTGGCCGCGGCCTCGGAATTACTGGCGCTGAACCTCCACTGCGACTCGGAGGCAGCCCGGCGCCAGACCCCGCGCCCGGCGCCACCTTTGCTGCTTGAATGGGATCGCAGTGCCCGTGAATGGCCCACCATCATTTACGACAGCCTCATCCCCAACGATGCCGCCCTCGATGCCCTGGCCGGCTGCCCGCAACCCGTCTTGCAACTTGGTGCTGGTACTGGCTACTGGGCAAGTCTTTTGGAGGCGTATGGCGTCAAGGTCGCATGCCATGATCCAACGCCACCACACGAAGGACCACACAGCATCCACCTGCGCGCCCCAGAATTTGTGCAGGTGGCCAACGGCGGCCTGTCCGTGGCCAACTCGCCGGACCATCCAACCTTGCTTCTAAACGCGGCCGACGCCCGCCCCGGGGGTGCCCTGGGCGGTGATCTCGCTCTGGGGAGCCTCCAGCGCTTTCGGGGCTCACACGTTGTGTTGATCGGCGAGTGGCGACCCACCACCGAGCCCGACGCTGCAGCCGACGGCTCAGCCGATCCCGCCCGCGATGCACCGGGAGCCGGCCTCTTTGAGGCTGCACTCTGCAAAGATTTTGTGCTTCAACAGCGCGTGTCCCTACCGGCCATGCCGTATCAAGCACCGGCACTCTGGGTATTTGTGCGAAAAACTGAGCAGGCCACCGGCGCCCTCTCCCTGGACGAACCGACGCTGGCCGGTGCTCGCACCACGCTACCACCTGGTGCGCAGCTATGGCGGTGCCAATTCTGTCATGCCTTTGTTGTCGATGGCGATGCGGCCGCGCAAAAGTACCGCGCCGAGCACGAAGGCGTACACATACTTCGGAGTATCCGCCTACGCCGCCCCACCACCCTGACCACGGTTGCTCTGCCCCATTGGGTACCCCTGAGCCGCCCCGTGCTCGCCACTGGTACCAGCGCGGCCAACGCCGTGCCCTGGACCGATGCAGATGCAGCCGGCGATGCTCCGGCCGAAACATAAGCGATAGGCTGGCGTCTGGTCGAGGGATTTTTATATTGTGTTCGTGCCTCATCACTGTGGGCACGTTGTGATGTGTTGGCGTCAAATTCAGACGAGTCCAGAGGATGTAGCGAGCAGTCACTGCTGTTCTTGGCGTACTTTTGTTGCTAACTCGCCACTTTTTGTGAAGAATTGACAAGTTGCGGGTCATTAGTTGGTGGTTCGTGACTATGGATAGCCAGTTCAACGTTGGCAAAAAGTCTCGCAAACATGTCAAGCAAGCATGCTAGCAGTTGTCGTGACACTGATCCAACGCCTCGTGTGGAGCCCTAAACTACCGTACATGGCGTGCAGCAACCTGCCGCACTCATCCAGACGAGCCCATAAACCAGGATAAATCTCAAAAAAAAACAAGAAGAAAGGGCCAAGAAAATCTGACATTTATCGCTCTCTTTTTATTTTTCTTTTTTTATGGACTGCCACGCATACCTCTCTCTCTCTCTGTTTCTCTCTCTGTCTCTCTCTCGCGCACACACACATTCTTCTTCTTCTTCTTCTTCTCTTGCTCAGCGTGTGAGTGTGTGAGTGTGAGTGAGAGTGCGTGTGTGTGCGCGCTCGACAGGACAAGTTGGCGGAGCTTTTGGAACTTTTTGGAGCTTTTGGAGGGCACTGGCGGCCTTTGAAAGAAGTTGGATGTGGCCACTGGTTTGGTGAATATTGGTGTCCTCTTGGAGGGACTCAAATGCACGGCCGAGCCCAGTTATTTGACCTTTAGCCCCGTCGGCCGCCAGTGAATTCCAAGAGAGGGGAAAGGGGTTCAGCGCCTGGTGTTTGTGGTGGACGAGCAGCATGGCGAGTGCCCAGAACTCAGACTCACCTCCAAAAACACCGGAGCGGAGGATATCTGCTCATAGCCTGGCCAGTACGCCCTCCACGCCCTACACTCGCGGGTCCTCGCAAGAGTTTGACTTCAATGCCTTGGGGCCCGGGGCCGCCGCTGGCAGTGCAGCAGTGCCCACAACACCGCAACAGCGCAGTGCACATCGCCGCCGCCTTTTGAAACAGTTTCCCACTTCCCTTTCTTCCGCTCTCAATGATCCACGCCTGGGCCGCCCCCCTGCGGATCTCTTCACCCGTGATTGGGGAGATGCTTTTCTACCCAGCGCCCCCGTGCCAGCCTCCACGCTGCTCCCCAAAGTCCCAAAGAAGCGCCTTGAAGCCATCCGTCAGCGACTCACACTGGTGAGTGCGCGCGTGCTCGAGGAACATTCATCTGTTACTCCCCGTATCCAATGCTCATTCCTGGTCTATCGAACCCGTCGTATCATGTAGCGGCGAGCCGATCGACGCATCAGTGGGGTAGAGCGCGATCAACCGAAGCGTGGCCATCGCCGGGCGGCATCCGTGGCCGCTGGCATCCCAGAGGTATTGCCCCATCTGATAGCCCCCCATATCTCTCATCTTTTGACTGTCCAATGTGGCTAGTCCGAGCACCTTTTGATGGGGCCTTGCCATTGTAAAAGTTATTGCCGTCACGCTCACGCTCCCGACTGGGGTTCGTTGGCCACGGTTGCTTGCGTAGTACTTTTGCAGCGAGTACTTTGATCTGAGGAATCCAGACACCTTTGCCAAGGTACTCCTTCCCAAGGATGCCAGCCTCTCAATACGGCAAAATGCGCGGCAGGTCCAAGAAAAGGTACGTCTTTGCCAACTCACTCGCGCGACATGGCTCAAGCTTGAACATCCTTGGCTGGTTCATTGGCTCGGCCCGGCTCTAGTACTCGCATCACCTGGACCAAGTTGAGGTGGAACTGAGTGTGCAATTGGCACAGCGTGCCGATCAAATTTTCACCGCCATGGAGTCACAGCAGGTACGGGCCGCTTCCATACTGCGCATGTGCTTGCACTTGTAAAGGCTGCCTCGACCAGCACGGGGCTGCCCACTTGTGCCCTCCATGTGTGTCGGGAATCCAACTCAACGCTTGTTGTGGGATGGCAATCACAGGATTTGACAGTCAGCGTCATCAGTGCGCGCAACGGCATTATCACCGCCAAGCAGCGCCTCGAGGGCATCCGCAACAACTCGATTAACCATTTGCTGATCCTTCACCTGTTGCGACGCCGCCGCAACTACGGCACCTTGATTGACAAACTGTCCGTTCTGGCCGCAGTGGCTTCGAGTCAAAGTGCCGTTCAGCGCCTTCTCGCGGCCAGCGATTACGTGGGTGCCCTTGAACTCATCCAGACGACCCAGGAGATTTTGACCGCAGAGCTTAACGGCGTCCATGCCATGCGGTACGTGCTCGGGACCCGCTCTTGTGGCATTGAGCATGAGTCAGCTTCAATCAGGCTGTTCTCTGCTGCTCCTCAAAGATCAAGGCCCTCACTCGCGGTAAAACTCGTAACACCGGCAGGCATATGGCGTCTCAGCTCGAGGAAATCAAGGCCCTGGTCTCTCGTGTCGTGGAGACGGACTTTTTGGCCGTGTTGATGGAGCACGCCAAACTAGAAGAACGCGTGATCATGCCGGTGGAGGCTGCGTATATTGAGCGTGCACAAGCTCCAACGTTAACAAGTGATGAACACACCGACACAGGCGCAGAAGCTGACGCCGACACATCTGCATCGGATAGCCCCAAAGGCTTGCCGCTGGACGGAGCCATCCTCCCGGGTCACGTGGAAAGCCAAGCCGATTTGCTGCATCCCCTCATCATGGGCCTGCTCCGCCTTCAGCGTTATGACATTTTTCAAACCTACTATGGCAGCCTGGAAACCTATCTTCGTGCCATGGTCAAGGAGCTGGTGACACAGCAGCTCGAATCTTCCAACCGCCCCAAAACCTCGCAATTGGCTTCCTGGGGCGACTCGCTCCGCGACCTGCCTTTTGAATTATGGCTTGGCTTGTTGCGCCACATATTTGGCCTGCTTCTGGGGGTCCTGGCGCGCACGCGCGAAAATTATGCCGCGCTCCAGCTTATATTTCAGCGGTTGGAGCCGCCGCGGACTCGATCACCGCATCGTGCAAGCACCTCGCATGCCAGTCCCGACAAGGTTGAGGACGTATCCGCTTCTTCTGGTGCCGTTCCCCGTGGGAACGACACCGCCTTGGGGGATGGTGCCGCGCAGTTTGAGGCACAAGAAGAGGATTTTGAGTTTCACGACACTGACGCGCTGGCGGAGAGTACACTCGCGCCAGCCGTTGGGGCAACGAGCGCGGAAGTTGCCAATGACGATGTCACGCTAGCCGACCTCGGTGAAGTCGGTGCTACATCCGAGGCGCGCGGGCCGCACAGCGCCTCGTCTCGCCCTACATCACCCCGCCGCCGGAGCCTTGCAGCTTCGGATACCTTGGACTGGCAGCGCTTGGACGAGCACAACCTGCAGGTGCTACGCCAGGCGCTCAACGAGGTGCATGCTCGCGTGTCCAAGCTGGTACAGGCCCGAATCCGAGATGGGGCCGATACCAATATCAACATTGCCAGTTATCTTCAATACTTTGAGCTGGTCAACTCCTTTGTCGATGCGGCAGCACAGCTCACGGGCTGCCGATGTGCCCTCATCGGTGCCACTCTGCGCGATCAGGTGTGCTTTGTTTTTTCTGTTGTTTTGTGCAAATGGGATCCAAAATATTGTTGATGTTTTGAAAGAGGCACCAACAAAAACAGATACTATAGTTTGCGCATGTATCGAGCGCTCGGGGCGACACGACCAGCCAGTCCCGATTTCGAACCTCACTCCACGGATGCCTACTCCATGCTGGTGGTGGTGCCGATAGACCAAGCTGTTCCTGGAGCGTTTTCATAGCAATCACACAGAGAAGCTCAACATCATGCTCAGCAACGAGCAGTGGGTCGCGGTGCGTGTGCACCCGGGTTTTCTGGCCATGTTGAGGGTGTGCACTCGCCATACATGGCCCTTATTCATTTTGGTCTTCTCTTGTGGCATTACAATCTTCTGGGATAGACCCATGTGCCCCCGGAAAGTCAGGCGTTGGTGTCGCGTTTGCGTGGCGACACCGCACCGCCAGCCAGCTCTGCCAGTGGCGACCAAGCCCACGCAGAATTGCTTTTTGTGGATGATGTGGGGCACCATGCTGTTGGCGCTGTTCTCATGTACGTTACAAATCATCTGCTTGCGGAGCATGCCTGCTTGCCGCTCCATTCAGGCAAGAACGGGGCTGACTTTGGTCATCTATAGGTTTTTGCAGAGCCTCGGCGAGTATCAACGTTGCACGGAGAACATGCCATCACTGGCGCATGAGGTCTTTGCTCGTCTGGCCGAGCTGCTGCGCACGTTCAACCAGCAAGTACGAAGGCTGGTGCATGACGCCGAGGCGATGCAAGTTGCCGGCCTGAAGCGCATCACAGCCAAGCAGCTGGGATTGGCTACCGAGACCATTGACATCATCCTCGGGGTCCTGCCGGGCCTTCGCCACTACTATGAGGCGCACCTGACGGGTGCACGACAGGTGTGTGTGTGTGTGTGTGTGTGTGTGTGTGTGTGTGTGTGTGTGTGTGTGCACATGTGTGCCGTGCGTTTGCTTGCAGGCGGGTGCGTGTCAGTTCTGTGCGCTCTCCCTCTCTCACTGAACTGTGGGCATCTGCACAATCTGCTTGACGAGCTCACCCTTCTCATCTCAACGTCGTGTACCACTTTGCGACCTGGTCTTGCATAAATGAGCAGAGCCAACTACGTGAGCTGGATCGGCTGGCAGAGCAGTATCGGCGTCATCTTCAGGATGTGGACAGCAAATTAGTGGCCATTATGCACGACATTTGGAATCGTTCAGCGCCGGTGAGTTGACGCCTGGGTGTGCCCTTACTTTGAATATGGCATGGCAAGCCACGATCTGCTCATGCTGTCTGTGTCGTGGTGCAGGAAATGAAGTGGGCCAAAAGCACTGTGACGGATGGATGCCGGAGCCTCGTGTCATCCATGACCAAGCTGCACAAGGCTTTGAACGCTGTGCTGCCACCCTCTCGTCTGAAGGTTTGTGGCTGCTTCGTATGCCCTCACCCCCTGGTGTGCTGTCGTGTCCTGTCAATATCTATCCGCTCAGGGTGTTCAACGTGCTGTCGCGAACCATCTGGCGGATGTAGGTGGTGTTTAGCAAGGTCTTGCAATTATTCAATGGCAAGTACAAGGAGGCGGCGGGCAAGCAGGCTACGAGTCGCGACAAGGCAGCCATGGTGGGCATTGCCGCGGATGTTCTGCTGATTGAAAGTGAGATGGAGCAGCTAGCCAATGTGGAGGTACATCAGGAGCTGCGCGAGGGGCTTGCCCAACTGGGCGTCGTCCTTCCGCCGCGGGTCTAGTCTGTTCCGGCAAATATGACAAATCCAGAAGAAACGTCCGCCCAGGTTGTCATGATGTGTTGTCAGGTCTCGCTGAAAGCCGACCCGAGCTGGAGCAATGGGGTATGGGCTATCTTGCCAATTGCTTTCTCGCATCATGTTCATTCGCAAAACAGAACATGATCACGCAAGCGCTTTTTTTCGCTCCCAGGTGGAGAGCAAGAAAAGACGAGTCCAGAAAAAAAAGCAGCGAAGGAAAGGAAAAAATAAAAGAAACCAAAAACCGGGAAACAGCAAAGCAATCAACTAAACAACAGACAAATCTCGACAGAGCCAAGGGAGGGAAAATACAAAACGACAACAAGAACCTTTGAAACGGAGTGTCAAGTTCGCGCAGCGATGGGACTTCCAGGAGTGCGGGGTGGTGGTGGTGGCTGTACCCTGACAAGCTGTGATGTGGATGGTCGGCAAGGCCGAAGCGGCGGGTCAGCGGGCTCATTGGTACTGGCTGAGAAGGTCACGCTGCATCTGCGCCGTCTTCAGCCGGCTTTCTTCAGCTTGCTCCTTGGCCTGCAGCATTTATACCAAGCAAAAGAAGAGCCGGCAGAAAGACATGAGACACGGCGGCATGTCTGCACGAGTCCAGGCCCCGCAATGACAGATGGCCAGCAAAGACTTTTGACACCCACCTCCTTGGCCATGCGCTCCTGCTTGAGCAGAGCTGCCGACTTCAGAGGCATGATCTTGGGCTTGCACAACACAGGGGCCTGTTCGTTGACCTGCGAGTAGACCGGTCCCTGCTTTGGGATGATCATCTGGATGCCGCTGCTGCCCGCCTCCATCGCCGTCGCGTGAGAGAGAGAGAGAGAGAGAGAGAGAGAGAGAGAGAGAGAGAGAGAGAGAGAGAGAGAGAGAGAGAGAGAGAGAGAGAGAGAGAGAGAGAAAGAGAGAGAGAGAGAGAGAGAGAGAGAGAGAGAGAGAGAGAGAGAGAGAGAGAGAGAGAGAGAGAGAGAGAGAGAGAGAGAGATGAAGTTAAAAAAGAAAAACATTTTAAGAAGCGAAACCAGTCACCATAGTTTAAATTTTCTGACAACTTGGCTGTGATGATGAATGCAGGCTCAAGAGCATCGTTGGCATAGGATCAGAAGGAAGTTTGTCCTTGCACATGTAGACGTGTCCCTTTTGTCCCTGCCTGTCTGTGTCTCTGGGTGCTGATTGGGTTCTAGGGTAATCTCTGCCATTACCTCACCTTTAACTTGTACCTCTACATATACCTTTAGTTAATCACTCTTCTCCGTTCATGATCTGCGCCTCTCTCTGATGAAATGATGATCTCAGTGTTCCCTCTCTCATGTTTGCAACCAAATCATGCTCTTCTCTCTTCTCTGGAGCCATTTTTTTACGGGCGCATGGATGCAGAAGGGGCCCCGCAGCGTATCTTGAGCTGCATTCACTCCAAATGAGGGATGATGGTGATGAGGTGTTGATGGTTGCGGTGGTGCTGCAGGAGATGGAGGCTTGAAGCGAAGCACAATTGCTTCAACGGCTTGGAGCGGGTGGGAGATAGGCTGGCTGATCAAAAGCCCTCGTATGTGAGAGACGTGAGAGGGTTCTACTCTTGTCCTCCCTCACAGGGCGCCACCCCTGTTTCGGACGAGGTTTCATTTGTAATTGGCAGCGCGCAATCAACCCGTCGCCATGCCTACTTCCCCGCCTGCGACACGGGGTCGAAGGCTGCGCTGCAGCAGTGAAGCCCTGTCACAACATCTGCTCAAGGCGGACCAAGCAGAGTCGACGCTCCATGCGTCCCATCGTCCCCGGCCTGCAGCTGCAACCAGGGTTCTCCAATCAGTGGTGACGCAGCTTGAAAGATCAGCTGTCAAGCGCCATCGCCGCCGCTCACCAGGAACCATGCTCAACTTTCTGCGCCGACGACGCACGCTCAACCCTGAGCCCGGTCGACAGACGGCCCGCTGTCGGTCAGTGATGTCGCCGGCGCGCAGGTCACACACACTCTTTTATGCCATTACCATCTGGTCTCATCAAGTGCGGAGTTTGGTCCGACCTCTAGCTCGCTTCATCAAATTTTGGTTCCAAACCGGTCCATTCGCTGCGATCACCACACGGTAAGTCCCCTCTTCCCTTGCCACCCTGCTGCTGGCATGCAAATTTCTCTGGCTATTGCCTCAACCCTCGCGCCCTTCTTCTCTTCTTTCGGGATCTCATGCGTGCTTCAGCATGTCCATTGGGCTTGGTTCAATCCGAGTGGTCGCTTTCTGGGTGGCTTTGTCAGTGATCCAGTTCGTCACATTTTGGTTGTTCATCGTGCTGATCTACCCCTCCGCGCCGAGGTCAGCCCTGGGCTTCTTTTTCAAGACAAGCTCTCCTCTGCCCCTCTCCCCGTCATGCCTCCTCCTGTCCGCCCAAGGCAGCTCTCACCCTTCAACTGCGGATGAGCGCAGGCGACCTCGGGTGCGCGACACATGGCTCTTGAGGAGTTTTTCCCCGAACACGGTCGCATCGTCGTCTCGAGCGCCCAACGCACGCTGGTGCCCACCTTTGCCGTTTTTCCCAAAGATCCCAACATTGCCATTCTTGCGGTAGTCCAGGTCCGGCCCATTTCAAAGTCGCCTCCAGTTTTGAAGCATCTGCTTTTGACGTCACAATCGTTTCGTCGCGCGCTTGCAGGCGGAGGGGACCTTGCCCGTTCATTCTCCTGGACTTGAGGGACAGCAATGGTTGGACACAGTCAAGTTGATCAGTTTCAACTTGCAAACTTGCCAACGTCTCGATCAGGCATGAGGGCAGACTCAGCGTCCTGCGGTGGTATCAGTAGCCACACTTTGCTGATCACACGCTTGCTTCGCGCTGTTGCAGCTGATGCTTCGTCACGATCACATTGCCTTGCACCGCAACAGTGGTGTCAGCATGCATGGTACGGTTTCTCGAGTACCCAGCCAAGTCTGCACACCTACGACTTGCGCCGACGTGCTCATTACCTCGATGCTTAGACAACAAATTGGCCATTCTCTCGCTGCTGCGTCAAGTTATTCTCTTGTATGAGGTGCAAGGGGACGGCCATTTTGCGCCGCTGCAACGCATCGGCGATCCTTGTGTCCCAGATGATTACTGTTACTTTGCTGCCGACTTTCCCGAACCCACCGGCCACCCGCTGCATTTTGACGCCCACGAGGGTTTGGTGCGCCAAGCTGGCACGCTCTGGCTGAATGCCTACTTGGCATCCAACATTATTCTAATTGGCTTTGCTTCGCGTCCCTGTGCAGACCGTACCGGGACAGGAACATACCTTTGCCTCACTCAAGCAGTCAATTCTCAGCGCACTCTGGCGAGACACCTACACCGCCAAGGTATGGTGCAGCGTACTGCAGGCACCACCGCCGATATCTGGCAGCTCAGTCGTGTCTCTTGACAGGATCCACTCGAGGCTCAACGCCAATTTCACTTTTACTGGAAGGAATATGCCCAACTTGTCGTTTGGCATCTGCAACTGATTGGTGCGCCTCACTTCCCTTGAGCGTCACTCATCTTCTTGTTGAGTACACGTCACGCCATCTCATGCCCGTTGTCGTGACCGGCTACATAGACACTGATTTGATGCTCCTCAAACTGGGGCCCAAATCTCGCCTCTCCTTACTGCGCGTTCATCCATTGCGCTGTGCGTCCAAGTCGCAGGGTTTGGGCATGAACCCCATTGGGAGGCGCGTTTCAGTGCGGTAACCTCTCACCCAACCTCGGTATAGACGCTCGCAAACTCCACGAGGACGGCCTTCTGATGTTTTACGCGTTTTATCGCATCAGCACTGGCCAGGTGGAGGTCATTTCTACCAACGAGAGTCCTTGGCTGTGGAAGCTGGTGCGTCATGGTAGCTGGTTAGCAAGTTGACACACGCCCGGCCAGAGGTTCATCATTGGTGCCCAATCCTTTCAGTATCAGGAAACGGCCATGAACTTTCGCTACCACATTAGTCGCCATCCGCTCGGGGCGCCACGGAGCCATGCTGAAAGGTCAGTGCCCCTTTGAGGTATCTGATGCGCGCGTTCAAGTACTTACTGTGACCTGCATCTTGTTGCGCCCCAGCCCGTACGCGCGAGCTCAGTTGCAGGAGCTGGCCCAGAGTGCCGCGGCCCTGCACCGCAGCGCGGGCAAGGCTTATGCCATGCGTCGACTCCTAGCCTGGCTGCTACCTGTTTCGGCACAACATCGAAATGTCTCGCCGTACTGCGATATCGACTTGTTCAGGTTTGTGTTGCCCTGCCACCCCCAAATCGGGCCTCTTGATGCTGCTCACCATGTTGCCGCGTGCCCGGCTCATTAGCTTTGATCAGCGCGTGCTGCGACAGCAGAGAGTTACGCCAGGGAGCCAACTCAAAGTGTGTATGCGCCCTTCTTCGTGGGATGAAGACAACGCCTTGCTGACCGCCAATCTTGTCGTTGAACACTCGCCCGCAATCAATGTGAACGTGGCTGTGTAGTTTTACTCGCGCGCGGATGGCCGCCTGAGCTTTCAAGTCTCGCTCGGCATTGCTCAAGGTGGGCAGCTTGGATTGGATCGGATGACTTGGAATTGGTGGGTATGCGGCGCGGTTGGCTCATTCTTTGGTGGTGTATACTGGGCGTGAATTAGAACCGCCAGCAGAGGGTGAGGCGGTCGCGCCAGCTAGCGTAGCCACGTGGCTGGGCTTCCACCCGTGCCTGCCTGTGGTTGTGTCCCTTCAAATGCCCAGTCAGGGCGAGCGCGTTTTACTCGTGCATCTGCATGATGACAAAAGATCGACGGCGTAATGCCATGTAACCAGCACCTTTAGCACGTGCAGAATCGAAAACAGATCTCACAAATGACAAGTCGATTTGAGTCCCACAAAGCAAAAACACAGCATCGACGAAGCGCGGCGTCGTCACGTGCAAGGACAAGATACAGAGGCCCTGGCATGCGCACCATGTCCAGCTGCGGGGGGAATTTTTGGTGCACCCTGTTGAGGTGCACCAGGGATAAGCGACACGCTGGGCAACAGCGCCCGGTCTGGCAGGGAGGCGCGAGTCGAAGAGGATGCGCGACAAGCACGCCAGATATACGAGCCGAGACACAGGTCGCGCACAGTCCGTCATGCAAATTGACAGCGCACCGGCCGCAAAAGAAATAGGAGTCCCTCCCTCCTTGGGCCCCTCCCAAAAGAGACTAACATGCAACAAACGCTTCCACAACACGCAACCAACCGGCCAACCAAAAGATTCAGACAAGGACGGAACAGAGAGGGAGGAGGCAATACAAAAGAACGAAATAATGACAGCGTGGGCAAATCCCAAGACAACGGTGCAGACGGAAGGAAGGGTACATGAGGACGGGATGGGAACGAAGAACACAGGGAACAAAAAAAACGGGGGACATGAGTACGAAGCGGCCGTCTATGTAAGCCTCACGGCACGTTGAGGCAGCAGGGGGGGGGGGGAAGGAAAAACACTGGTGTCTTTCCACAGCAAGCTGTGAAGCGTGGTCACGTTGCGCGTCTTAAAGGATAATGCAGTCCTTCTCCGCCTTGATGGGATCGCCATTGCGGCGCTCAATCTCCGTGATCATGCGGTGGAAGACTTCTGTGACACCGGTATTATCACGAGCCGAGGACTCGACGTAGAGTGCGCCACACTTTTCTGCCAGGGCCTTGCCTTCGGCCATGGAGATGACTCTGCATCATGTTCGAGACGAATCAGGTAAGAGCGGACAGATAGCTGGCGGGTCTGGGGCAGAAGGGCCTGGCCAACCTACCGATCCTCAACAAGATCACACTTGTTGGCCACAATGATAACCGGTGGGCTACGGGTTGAGAAAGGTGGGTGGTGTGCGGGTGAGGGGCGGCCTGCACATGAACGAAGATGGCAGGCGAGGCAAAACTTGGCCTTTACGCACCCTTGGGCACCAGCGGCCATGAGGCGCTCATAGATTTCTCGAACTACATCAAAGCTGTCATGCACATGACAAGGGCAGGGGTAGCCAGGCCAGGGTCAGGCAAGAGGTTTGCACATGAGTTTGACCAGTCGCTAAGAAAACAAAGCCAAGAGACCCAAAGAGACCAAAAACAACCCAAAAAAGACCAACCTGCGGCTTTCCGCGACCGAGTAGACGATGATCCAGCCATCCATGATGAGGTAATCATCTGGGAAGTTGGGCAACTCGGTGACGCCCATGGTGTCGTAAATTTGCAGGCGAAAGTCCCGGTCGCCAATTTTAATATCCTTTTCCAGTTCTAGGGTCATCGACCAAGGGATTGATGTTGGTGACCGGTGGAAAAAGGAGTACGGCGGGGGGGGGGGGGAT